TAGCGGCTCTTAGGTGTTTGCTTTTTTTCGGGGCTACATTCAGTTCGATCACCCGACGCGCGCATTTTTTTTGTGGAACGCAGCGGGGGCTGAGCAATTCGCGCGAAGGGTGCTTCCCTGTCCCCGAGTCAATGTGCACGTAGTCCTGCTTCGAAGGCATTTATTTTGATGCTTGTGGCTGGGCCGAGTCACCGTTACCTTCAATTGCTCAAGTTTGCCCCATCTCAAACAAGTAGCGTCGAGAGAAATGCCTCCTTATCTGTCCTGTATGTCATCTTCTCTTGCTCTTATTTGCAACTCCGTATCGACCATTAGAATGTAGCCTGTTGAATACCCATCCGTCACCTGCTGTTATTGGCTAGAGCCTTTCATGAACATCATGGGGCCCATCCACCGCAGTAACCCAAGAAGCACACGTAACCTTTGTCAAGATGATCAAACATAAATTAGACATCTATATTATAAGCGATCAAGTCTGTATTAACACGAATACTGTTAGTAATAACGTGCAAATAACTATGCTTTGATAATGTATTCATTGTACTTGGAACTGATTGGCCTACACCAGAGAGACAGTCTCCTTTTATAGCATTGTCTCACCGGTGATATAGAGCACAGAACCCCAAAAGGCGAAGAACACAAGGAAGATGCAAACGACAAAGGATTTATCGATGTTAATACTGGCACAAAAAAAGTCCCATAGACACACAACATGCGTTAAGGTTTGCTTTATTATGCTGAAACTGCAAACAAATTGTAACATGCCATTTTTGTTGCTCTTCATGCATCTTGTAAACTAATATGTTAAACTAATAAATCGTGTACACGTGTGAATATTTTTTTTCAGAAGACTATTATTTCACAAATATTCTTGAAGCAGGGCTCCAATCCAGAACCCAGTGTGAGATGATCCAGAATCCAGTGTGCGGTGATCCGGAAACCCAGTATGTGATGATCCAGAATCCAGTGTGCGATGATCCGGAACCCAGTATGTGATGATCCAGAATCCAGTGTGCGGTGATCCGGAAACCCAGTATGTGATGATCCAGAATCCAGTGTGCGGTGATCCGGAACCCAGTATGTGATGATCCAGAATCCAGTGTGCGGTGATCCGGAAACCCAGTATGTGATGATCCAGAATCCAGTGTGCGGTGATCCGGAAACCCAGTATGTGATGATCCAGAATCCAGTGTGCGGTGACCCAGAATCCAGTTTGTGATCATCCAGAATCCAGAACTTCTGTCGTACGAAAACAACATTCCCAAGGGCAGATCGAGTTCAGATATCCAGCCAGGAACAACAACGGATGCGGAATGGACGTTTCGTCTTCCCGTCGGGAAGAAGCGAATGCAAGGGGCGACCGTTCCGTTGTGTGCAGATCACCCGCACAGTCGAAGCGCGCCTCGTCCTGAATTCACCATCGTCATCATCGTCATCATCGTCGTCGTCGCCGCCACTCGCGCACCAGATGTGATCCACGTCGCCCGTGGGACATCTTGACGCGGTTTACGATCGCTTGTTATCCGTCGTGATTGCGGGAAGCCACGAGGTTCGGACCTAGGATCTCCACGAAGATCGTTCGACGTCAAAGCAATCCACCAGCTAACTACACCGATGCCGATGATCCCAGATATCGATTTAAAAAAAAATTCCGTTCCAAAAATCAGTTGCGTATTTCCGCAACACGCCATACGAAAGAAGATTTACTCATTTTGCTTTACGTAACTCCGATACCTTCATTAATCTTGTCGCGTTGTCAATGTTTGCATTGGCAGATTCGTTTTCCTCCTTTGTGGTCCGTGTTTTTTTTTATTTCGTATTAAATGAGATTGCAGGCTTCAGAAAGGAATGAAACGTCTTGTTACCTGCCATAATAAGCATTAAATTAAAATGTACATCAGTAAAAATGTTATTGTCCGCAGTGGACCATAGACCCTGGCTTTTATTTGTGAGCATATTATTCGTTGTTATTTTTGTGTTTTAATATCGGCTGTCGTTGTAGGCTTGCACATGGTAATTGCCCCAAGCCTAATAATCTGGCAAAATAATCTAGCACATTATGGATGAACATTTAGGTGTGTTCACGCTAATTGCATCTTTACGCTGCCAAGCCCTTGTTTCCCTTCATGTCACCCTTTGGGGACTAGTCATTGTCAACATACGAAAAACAAATTCAACACAAATGGATAAAAATCATCTGTTTACAAAATTCTTGAATCGAATCGCAATCCCGAGATTTAAAAAAAATCCTCTCGTTATTACCCACTGCTCTCTCTCTCTCTCTCGCGTTGTTTCTTGTTTGTTTCGCCTCGTTTGTAGTTTGGTTCCCTCCGTCAGCCTCATTGCAACACGTGCGAATTTTTGAGAATTCTTTGCGTGAATCGAAAGCGTCGATTCCGACGCGATGCAATGCGCGTGAAGTCCCCGAAGGCACCGCGTTAATCGATTGCTTGATGATGTATCATTAAACGCTGATTTAAAACAGCACCACACTTGTCCCTCCCCCCCTTTTAAACAATCAGAATGTTTTCGTTCATGGCCCTCTCTTGTGCTTTGTGTGGTTATTGTTTGTGTGTGTGTGTAAACGGGTTCCAAGCGGCATCCCCATAGAATACCAAAAAGGGCCTCCGTTACTCAGGCACTCATGCAGGAATGGAAATCTTTTAATCTGCCACAGCCTACGATACCCCCCCCCCCCCCCCAACTGCTGCATTTTTATAAACAGGTTTCGCGCGATGTAAGCTTCCAAATTGGTGTTCAAATGTTCAATGTTGCATCACTTTGGCTTTGAGTCTTTGTTTTGATATTCATTCTGAGGCCAAAATTTGTCTTTTGTCGAGCGCGGTCACACGCTGAGCTTCACTGTTAAGCCCTCTTTTAATTTAGTAGAACGTTTGGCACTATTATATCTTGATAACATTTCATTTTAATAAATATATGGCTGCATTGTCATAGCTTATTATACCATATGGTTGAACAGCACGAGTGAGAAAAATAGTCGCTTTATGAATGCCGTGATTGTTCTCAGTTGTTATAATGAATCTTTGGTTCACGGTTTTGCATAATGGTTCTACGTTTTTATTTTTTTACTTTATGAGTATAACCAGGGTAGCTGCGAACGAAGTTGGCTGTGGTTACACGGAGCAACCATCATACTGGACATCTGTGAAAAGTAGCTTTATAATTCATCGGATTCGTCCAGTATGAATACATAATTTGATTCTGATCATAACGATCTAGATTTTTTGCTCTGACCGCACCCAATCTCCTACCCCTTAGCTGACCATTAAGCTGTGTTTCACTCACAGAGGAGATCGTAAATCCAAAGTGCGTAGAACTGAGTGTCTTGTTTATTTTTCCGGCACGAGGTTTCTGTACCAGTCCGTTTTGCTGCTCCATTCCAAGCAAACGAGACTCCTCACCCGCACGCGTAACGAGACCACATCGCTCCTCCACTGGTTCCCAGATCCAGTCTGAGTCAACCATCAGATCGCCCTCACCGTATTCAAGAGAGCCTCCATGTACCCTGCCTACCTCTCTGCTCTCATCTTCCCCTGCATCCCTTCACCCACTCTCTGCTCCAGCAATCAAGGCTGCTCCATCTCGCTTGCTCCTCCCGTCCTATGAAAGTGCCCCCCTTCTCCTTCCCAGTCATCCGTGCTGTTGACTCCATGCCCCCCCCCCCTCCCATTCTGGGTCAAAACCACCTCCCTCTCCCCCTCTGCCTGTGACTGACATTCCCCCGTGTATCAAGGTGATTCCATTCCCACCTTACTTAATAATAACTCCGTGCACTGCACTGTGAAATGCAGTCGCATGTGGACGCTCCGTAAACGAACACATTGGAATCCTGCATTGAAGTTGTAAATGCGGTCCGTTGTGTACGGCGCACGGCGAGGTGCTGTTTGTCGGGCGAACACGGAGGCAGGAAGGCAGTGTGACAACCCTGCAGCATGACCTTTTTAAAACGGGGGGTGTCGTACAAAACAAACCCCATCCTTGACTCGACGATAAGAATTTTAAATGGGGTGCTAAGCTTTCATTCGGCAGGCTGTACCGCGAATGTGACCCCTCGTCCCTGTTGTGTTTGCTCTCCAGCAGCCAGTGGTACTGATGACCCACGCAGTGTGAACCTTTGTTGTACGAAGGCAAGCGCGTTTGGGGTGGTAGGGGAGGGTGGAACGCACACCTCGTGAAACATTCACTCCCAACCAAATAGGTTTCTCTTTCCTCCGCCAAAGATTGCTCGCCTCAACCTTGCCACTTTTCTCGTGTCGAATTCATCTCGGGTGACCCAAGGTTCGAGTCTGGCCTCCGAGCCTCCGAGTCCTCAAGGGTTGCAAGCCGATGGTCTCTGCTCGGTCACGATGAACTGACAATTAAAATTAGTAAAACTGCCACGCGACGAAGACGCTTTGCAGGGCGTATAAAAACAACAACAACAACAACAACGTGTGCCTCCAGTGTGAATAAAGAGGAACGTGTGATGCAATCGTAAAGGACTGCGCGCTGACACAGGGTGATGCACTGCTTACCGCAAGAACTTCAACGATATACTGCGTAACCGTATTGTCTGGCGCCAATATTGTCCGCGCCTCCGATTAGCCACGCACGGTGCCAAAGAAGTTCAACATACATACCTACATACAATAACAGCACGATTGCAATTCAATCGGAGAGGGAGGGGGGGGGAATGGTTTTATTTATTTGATTTAACATAAAAGGAAGCCACCGTCTACATACAGGGTTACAAGCCTGCGGACCATAACTCTTGGCACAGCTCTGCAAAGCCATTACGGTTGTGGCATAGTTGCGAGAGCCATCTGGCACTCATCACGGAGCGGTGCCTCCCTCTCCCGTGCGACCCGGCGCTCCGCCTCATCATCACCACCACCACTGCCGTCGCTCGCTCTCTTTAAGTGGGGAAGTGGGGTGGGTGGGTGGGAGGCGCCCCCCCCCCATCCCTCTCTCTCCCCCCCCCCCCCCCCCCAAAAAAAAAAGCGAGGCAAGATTCGACAAAGATAAGGAAGATAAATAAATAAGTGGAAAATGTTGGAGCCCACCCTCGTGCCCTGGAATAGGGGGCTCGGGAGTCCACACACCTCCTCCTCCTCCTCCTCCACCACCGCGCGCGCGCGCGCACACGCGCGGACTGTTCGTCGCCCCTAAGGCAGCGGCTGCTGCTGCTGCTGCTGCTCAGACGAGCGATCCTTTTCTGCGGTGGTTTGGTGCCGTGGGGTTTTATTGTTATTGTTGTTTGGTTATCCGCCTTAAAAATATATATTTCCCCTCCCCCCCCCCGCACACTTTTTGTGCTCCGGCTCGAGCGCGGTGGTTCACAGTGCAGAGCGATCGGAGGACTGCAAGCGAGGCCGAGTTTGTAAATTGTGCCTGGGACACGGACTCCCGAGGGGGGGTCCTGGGATTCCACCCATCCTGGAGGTGCGTGAGTCCTCTCTGTCTCTCTGCACTGCGCTCAGTCGCGTGATGTCCGAGTGTCGATGATGATGATGATGGTAGTGCGGCTGTGAATTTTGATTATTTGTTTTTGTAAGGAGTTAAATTGTTGGTTGCATTGGAGGCGCGTCTATTGGTTGCTATAGTGCAAATTAATTAAATTAATTGACTGTCTTTTATCATGATTATTTTTTTCCGCTATATGGCACAAAATTGCATACATAGCTTGGCTCTTATAATTGTTCAATCGACATTTGAACTCTATGGTAACATAATGTCAAGGCTTCAAGTATGTTGCACAGCAGAACACCTACAGTTACGATGTAGAAAATTAATAATACGAGTTAACTGTTCTTGGACTAAATTTCGTTTATCGCTTTATGACAACAGTTACATATAACGCGTCAACGATTATTATACGCTCAGCTACTTCACTGTAAAGCCCAATGCATCAATGTGCAATACGCATATATATAAAGTGCACACAACAAGCGCAATACATCGTTTCAGATTAAAGCTTAATTTGCTCTCAACCTTTAATTAACGCGCCTCGGTGCATAATTACAAACAGGGTAGAAGCGTAATGCAGGGCTGGCTACTACTGCCACTACTGCAGTCGTGCGCGACATTGCCGGCTCTGATATATTAGCGCACATTATCACCTCCAAGTGTAATAAATTGCCTGGCTTCTTGTGTTCAAGCTTCGCTGGTTCGCGGGCCCGCGCGCGGCTCCCCTTGGGCAGTGATGGAACATTATCGATAAGTGCCGCTGCGTGCGTGTGAGGAACTCAACGGGCTCGCTCTCTTTTTGTCTCCCACCGCGAGCAAAATCCACGGCTATTGTTCTCAGGCGTGAGCCGCTTGCAACGTAATGTCGTAGGTCAATCGGTTTCAAAGACAATGCGTATATTTTTCGATTTCAAGCTTTCGTGACTGCAGGGATTCATCTTCTTGGTTCTTTCGGTAAAGCCACCACGTAGAATGGGGATAAAATAATAATAATATCCCCATTCTACGTGAAGAAGAAGATGAATGCTTTTATTATCAGAGCATCGTGGAGTCTTTCTCTTGCCAGTATCGAAGTAAGGAAAAATAAAAATAGGTTTTAACCTTTCTTTTTTTATTGTCAGAAAAGGGGCAAATGCATTCTTATTTTTGCATTATCAGATCGTGTCTGTTTTGCATGTTCACCACACGCACGCGTGGTTAATGCAGACTTGATTCCTTTGCAAAAAAAAAAATATATGCATTTGGTGCTTGAACATCTTAACACCTGTTTCATTGCCAGAAAGGGTGACGCCTATTCCTATTCTTATGTTTCGTACTTTGATACTGGCGAAATAATGCCCCATGATACATCCCTTTTATCAGCGTTGTGGGAGCCGATGTGATTACATTTCAACCACGCTGGTCAGTGCGGTTTGGTGAACCCGTGGCGCATAGAACGTGGGCAACATAGTGTAGGACACCGACTGGTGCTTCTGCAGTGCTCTCTGTGCTGACAACATAGCCATGCAGGAAAGCCCACAGCACCTGCTTTGTATGTTCATGGCGGTCGCCCATGAAACCACCAGCCCTGGTGAAGCGATCTCGCGAGATCGGGAGCATTCCGGGTGATCGGGATTTGACCGTCGGCGGTTTACAAAGCGATCCCACACAAAATTTAACGATTTATAGGAGGGAATCCTCACTGCTCGCGACACACCAACTGGCCGTTAAGCTGAGCCCTTTCCGTGCACGTGCGATTAAAATCAAAACCCCAAGTGGAAAGGCCTTCATGTTCTCATGCGCATTGGGTGGTGGTCATCTCTCGTGGCGGTCCCGTGCCCCCTTGGTTTGAATTTCAAATTCATGTGCCGAGATCCAGTGTTTGTATAGGGCAACTGCTGTTGACTTTCAACAAGGAGTTGCGCATGTTATTCACCCGTGGGAAATGATGTGCCGAAGTTGAATCCCCCCTCCCACCCCACCTCCGTCCACACTGTGACAATTCGTAACAATGCAAATCGCACGTTGCATCTTGCAGACCCTTTGACTTTGTATTTATGAAGCTGTAACGTTGAGAGTGGGTGGCACGGTGGTTGGCGTACTACACTGCGAACGTACCATGGTACTGAACTGTTTCTTCACCATCCCGTACTGCTCAGCGTGTATGGCCAAAGAGCGCCCATGACCGCTGCAGTGTGAGAACACCTTCATCCATCATTAGGTGGACAGAGTGGCCTGTAAGCTATTGTATTGTATACTGTTAACATGGGGAGTAGCCCAGTTATTTCGGAACATCCAGTCAATTTGGTGTTTGGCTGTGATACCAACCCAAGTGCCCTCTTTCGTTTCGGTCTATGCCAATTGTACATTCAATTTCATGCCTGTACTTGGGCCGCACATCTTTCCAGATGACGTTTCGCTGACAGCACGCGGTGGTCTTGTCTAACGTTGTACAATTTATCCTCGTCTCGTGCGCAACATTGAACGTTTTTGAGAATTAAGTGGCTCTCGGCAGTAGAGCGAGCGGCTCGTTAACAGAAAGTTGTGAGTTAAACTTCCGGTTGTGGGTTGACTATTCTATGGGTCTTTCGGTAAAGCCACGTAGATAGAAAATTAATCAAAATATCACGACGTTTCGATCGCAACACAGGCAATTGTCTTTACCGAAAGACCCATAGAATATACACTATGCTGCGTTATTTATTACTCATTCAATTTAGAAAAATGTAGGCATAAACAACAAATAAATCGCATGTGCTTTGTGCCTCTTTCAAGCAGTGGATTGATAATGGACTGAAAGTTATTATTTTTATGCAATTATATTGTTGAACCCGCTGCTGCAAGGCGCCTTACAAGTTAAGTAGGTGCAACGTGTCCTAAACAATTACATTCACATAAACGGGACACGTCCAAGAGGATATCCTCCAAGGAGATGGAGCAATTAAATCAGTGAATGTGCAGGTGCTGCGCGGATTATTAGTGGCTTGGGGAGGCCTTCATCCAAAAGTGGATTGATAATGGATGATGATGATGATGGTGGTCTGGCATGTAGGGTGCATGGAATAATTCTTAGTCAAACTGTGAATCTCGTTTTTACTCTGCTTGGGTCCTGATATCAAATGTGTTCATGTGCATCTTGGTATACATGCGAACGTGAACATTGCAAAATGAATGAACTAACCATTAACGCCGTGTAAGAAATGCAGCTGGTAGTGTTAACTTATTTAGCACGATGTGCCATCTTCGTGAAAGGTCGCTTTTTAACTTGGTGGATTCTGGGATCTGCTTTGAAGATGTTTCCCCTGGCATCTCTCTGGATGGGAAAATACGAGATAATCTGAGCTGCTTAATAAGTGGTGACGTATGGAACGCAAGTGGCGAACTCCATTCAGCGAAGCTTGGATTGCAATTATTTGTCATTTATAAGTGGCTTCTTTGTAAATTTATCTTCCAATTATTTCTCAGGATCTTATATACAGCATCGATGAGTCTTAGTTAGCAGGCACTCTTAATGTTCTACTGTGTAAGAAGCAAGTGAGGCTACGAGTCCCCCTGAAAGAGAGATCTGGAACGAACAATGGGAACACGTTAAAACATTCCAACGCAAACTCTCCCATTAGCACGGTTGGCTACATACAGTGCAAAAAAAGTTCAACAATCATGCAAAACAAGACCAAACATTAACACCAACATTTTATAACAAATTATAACCTTTTATAATGATAACTTTAACAAAATGGAAGTTTTAAAACATATATATGTCTAATCATTGGATATGAATGTTGAACATGTGAGCAGTGTAAGAATTACCATTTAAATACATGATCAAAGTGGTCTTAGTAGTTGTTTGCATTATCAACCTTCAAGATCACGTGAACCTTGTCAAAATCTCAAAGTTGGTGCGTGGGCCTCATGTTTCATTGAGAAATTGCTTCTCTTCATCTCTATCCATTTTCCCAAGTCAATCATGGACATTCCACATTCCTGTGACCATAACCAATCTGAATATTGCAGTATAACGTGACACGTTTACTTCCAGCAAGGTGGTATTATTATTTGTATTAACCACCGAGAGATGATAATATGCTGGGCTGATTTGACCTCGCAATGTTCCAACTGCAAACGTGGCTTTTGTTGTTGTTGCTCGCGGTCTTGGACCAACGATGATAATAAAACATTTGTGCGGCAGGTACCCAGTTGGAATATGACGACAACCGTTGCCAAAATCCGACTGGCCCATGCTTCATTGCCATTTTCTGACCGCCAACCAGAATATGAACCCACGACCTCCCTCCCCACAAATAACGATTTCCATGATCTAACCAAAGCGCCTCGATTCTGGAACGATCACCCTGTCTGCAGAATGTACGTATGCATGTTGAACTTCTTTTGCACCGTACGTAGCCAACCGCGCTAATCGGAAGTGCCACAATTGTCTGGCCCTGTCGAACGATCGGCCATCGTCGAGGCGTCATTGCTCGAAAATCCAATCGGCCGTGCCACCTTTTACCCATTGGATTCCGGTTGCCGAAACGAATACATTATATGGTCACACTCATTACACACAAAGTGCTTGGCCCCAAGTGAACCACAACACCTGGCTTATCTCGTCAAGGAGCATAGACCATCATCAGCGCGCGAACTCCGGTCATCCTCGCAGCAGTGGCTTATGACTGCTAGCCATCGAACACAGACGGTCACCGCATCGCGCGCTTTCAGGTGTGCTTCTGCGGCCGTCTGGAATGATCTTCCTTCCGATAGTCGGAAGCCACTGGATCTATATTTAATCAACAGATTTAATTTGTATTGAAAACGAATTTATTTTTATAACTGCTTTTTCTGCTCACTTTGTTGTCCTTCCCCCGATTAGCACGGTTGGCTACGTACGGTGCAAAAAAAAGTCCAACATACATACTTACACCACCCCCCGCGCCCTCCGCAGACGCGTTCGCTATCTCGGCAGCCGCCACCTCCTCCCAGGATGACGCTCGACAGCCTGGAGAAGGTGAGCGTGTGCGAGGGGCACGTGCCGGGAGACGGGGGCAACGCCGGCGGGGAGGCGAAGCCCCCCAGCTCGGCGGGGACGTCGACCACCGGCGGCCACCACCACCACCACCACGCCCCCCACAAAGGCACGCTGACCGTGCCGCCGCCCTACTCGGCGGACGAGCGAGCGGCGCCGCTGGAGGCGAGGGAGCCGCTGGACTGCTGGGCGTGCGCCATCCTGCTCACGGCGCACAACACGTGCGTGGCGGCGCTCAACCTACTCCTGCTGGCGCTCGTCTTCGGTCTGCTGCTGCTGCCCGCCATCGTGATGGTGTGGTTCGGATTCTCGTGCCACTCCAGGGTAAGCGGCGCGCGCGCGCGCACGCACGCACGGGGTGCGGTGACCTTTTGAACTTTTTGATTGCGAGGTGGGAGAGGGGGCGAGGTTTGGACGCTTGGTGTGGGGAGTGGCCGGTGAAGTGGATTGCAGCACTATGCTCCGCACCTACGCCAAACTCGGCGTGGTGAAGTGTGATCAAACAATCCCCATTACCGGCACGGCATGTGGAGGCCCTCATCCAGCAGTGGAGTGACAATACTAGCTGTATCTGTACAGGTACAATACGGTTTTTATTTGACTGTTAGTTGACCAGATTATGGCTGAATCCATCGGTGCAACCCTTGAGCGCTATCAGCTTGCATGTGTAGTGGCCTTATCGACGTCGGAGACTGTTCTTTTAGAGGCAACACGTATTTATTACAAACACTTCTGTTACAGTATCGAATCTAATACTTGAAGAGATAACGGCCCCTTCACCCGTACTCTACAGAGGGAACGATCCCCGGGCTTTACCCGCGCTAGCTCCCTGGCTCCCTCACACCTGGCCCTCTCTCCCGAGCTCTCTGACCTGGCCCAGCTTCGGCGTAGGTCCCGATCACCAGCCACACGAGTCCGGCCCTCAGAAGGACATCGTCCCTCGCGGCTCTGGTGTCGCACCCCCTGGATTGGCTTGCCCGGCCCTCAAAAGGACAGCGGATCAAGGGAGCTCCAGGGCCTAGCTAGTCGGTCTTCTCTCTTCAACTGGTTCTTCATCTTGCTTGAGTCGAACTCCCCCCCAGCTCTCCGGGTCCCACCTTTCATACTGTCCCTCTCTGAGGGGTGGGGCTGGGAGGGATCACAGCGTCCTCCACAGCCCCCCAGGGTGGTGGCCGTAGCGGACGTGGTTGTAGCCACCGCCCTACAACCGCGTGTCACCATCCCATAACACCTCTACACATGCATGGTGCTTTGTCTGCAAGTTCTCCAGTTTCCTACTAGATGAAGCCAAACTGTAATTTCGTGGAAATTGAATTATTTTATTTGGGCCACACATCGGCGAGGCTTTTCTGAGTGAAAGGAATGGCATTGCCATTATTCTTAGCGAGAAAAAAAAACGGGTGGCATCCTGCTGTTTACCACATCATATACTTGATTGGGGGGAAGGGTCTGGAGGCAATGTGCATCATGTATCGCGTGCAGCATGGCTTTTGGCAACTGGATTCAATGATCAAGTCACAAATTCTCAGTAAAGTGGAAACCCTATGGGTAGCAGGCAAATACAAAGATCACCCGTGTAGCCTTTAGAGAATGTTGGGGCAAGTGCTGTTAGAGAGCACCTTTGAATGCCGAGGATGGGTGGCCAACACCACGCCCGACCGCCTTTCTCTCCCCATTGGCGATGTTTACACAATAGACCAGGTATTCATTTGAGGCTGAGTCGACCTAGGGGAGGCCCATGACCGGTTCAGACAATCGTCACTGGTGTTGACCGTGAGCAGGAATCGAACTCGGGTCACTGGATTAACAGCACAGCAGCGTGCTACCCGCTGCCCTACCGCTCCCCCCTGTGTAGCAGGCTCACATGCACTCGCACAACCATGCGTGGCTGCTTTCATACTTTCCACTGCTGGCTTCATAGGAAGCTTTGAGCCCTCGATTGAAACCGCTCGCACAAACCCCAGGTTCTTTAGAGAAAGCTTCTTTCGCCTAGGCAGTTATTCATTATGCAGTCTCCGTGGTAACTCAGCGTCTCATTTGTACAATCTGTCCGTTATCGTTCAATTAAATTCACATGAGTGTAACCACTTTCATATCATGCGCATGCATTCTAAAATAAACGATTAGCACGTACACGATCCGATTGCGTGTGGTCAGATTAAGAATCGTTATTCAACGATGAACCGATGCATCGTTGTATTGCTTCGACTAGTATTAGCGTATGTACTGATTTGTTTTTACATACATGTTTTTAATGTTAGCTGCCATTGAAAGACTGTATTCATATTGACTACCTTTATGATAAATGTGCCTTGAATTGGATATTTAGGTGAGCTGTAACAAAAGCATGCCTCTAGATCGTGTATCTTTTGGCTTGTATCAATGTAAACGGTGGAATTTTGCCCAATATTAATATCCTTATATTTTTTCTCCATCTAGATATAATAAGTCCTGAATTTTTTTTACTTGTAATAAATACACGGTTGGCCACAAAAATAATGACATGTTAGTTTTGTGCTATTTGCAAGCAGTTTGAAAAGGCACATATTTGATATAATGTAAAGAAAAAACCTATTTGAAAGTTTCAAAGTATGGCAACATGGTTTGCCATTGTTTATGAAACTGCATCAAAGGTTAGGCTCACGAAAAACACATTTGTTTTAATTTTCAACTTTTAAAGAAAATAAACTGCAAGGGCAGCGACTCATTAAGAATTCCCAGAGTGTGCGTGAACACGGGACCCAAGAAGACATTTATAAAAGCGACAGTGAGCTGCGCAGAAACAAGTCGAAGCGATTTCCTGAACAAATGATGATGATTGAAGGCGGTGGTCATCTCCTGTTTACAGCCCTGAGAGTTCGTGGTAGAATTTCCACATTTCTGTGGCAGCGAAAAGATTATATCCATAGGAAGCAAACAATGTTGACTTCCCCCACAAAGTGGTCCCTATATTATCGACCCCAGTGGGATGATGAGCTTAGTCAAACCCAAGTCGGGATTTTAACTCGAAATCTTTCAATTGCGAGACGCTCTCTCTACCGCTGAGCAATCTGGCGGGTTAGAAACAAGATAGCATACATTTATCATGAATATTTATTTGTATATACACACACAGGGCTAAGGCATTCTGCCGTGCTGGTTTCTTGAAGAACTCTGAACTGTAACCAGTTTCATTGGCTTAAAAAAATGCTTTTGAGATACAAGTCCTACATATTTGAACGTTGGTAAAAGCCATTGTGTAAATAAATCTAAAGCCGGTGTTCCTTTTGATGCTCAAAACACACACACACATTGAGATCCTATACCGTTATATTTGTTTGAGTTTAGTGGAATCTACTACTTTACGAATTCCAAAAATAAATATATATTTTTAGAGGGGTCGGATGTCGCATATGATTGTAGCTTGTAACACTCTAAAAAGATTATATAAAATAAAGCATAGAATATAATGTAAAAGCATAATGGTTACTGTAATTGTGAAGCCAAAAAGTCAGATGTCCTTGTTAAGCTATTATATAAAACAAAAATGCTGACCCTTTGGGAAATGCCATTTCCTCTGGGAGCTTTATGTTTAAAATGTCCCTTCTCTTCAAGTCGAGTTCCAAGATGGAATCTTCCTTATCTACGAGTTATTTAATGTTATTTGCTCAGACTCTGGGTGGCTACTGAACCTCTGAACCTTCCTTCCCACTACTTTGGGGGGGGGGGGGAGTTGTTTACTCTCAGAAAATAACCGTCACTTAGACATTTTAAATCTTCACCAACTATTTTCTACATAGAATAAAAACAACACAACTAACTAACTAACTAATAAGAGATGGAAGTGTCTTTTTTTTAAACACCGTCAAGCCCAGTGATAAATAGCAGACCTAATGGACTGTGTTTCACCCCTGGTGTAACGGGGTTACCCCTCTAGAAGCCCTGAGCACGTCACGGCACATAGCGCCGTGTGATTTGTGTTGCCACAGAATGATTAATCTCTCCACAGTGATTTGTGGCCACAAATTCGACTTAATAATAATCCAACGAAAAAAATATTGTCTCATTGTATTTGAACATCTCGTGATGCTTTTGACGCTGCCGTCGGTGAAAGGGTTAGCAGCACGCCGGACTTGCAATCCAGAGCTTGACGGTTCAACCTCTGGATATTTTTGTATGTGCCGTGTCCTTGCCAAATATGTCGAAAATCATGGCCTTCCATTGAGGTCTGCCCATGATATTACTCAAGAACTTTGCATGATATAGATACTCCTCCCATGTATGTATGTTGAACTTCTTGTGCACCGTACGTAGCCAACCGTGCGAAGCGGAGGTGCATCTGATTGTTCAATTAGCTCACGTTAGTCGATTGGCAGGTCACGTGTGGTGGGATAAAGCATTGGCATTTCCACCTCTTCCCACGCATCATCTGGCCAGCATGGAAGAGTAGGCCAAATTTTCCTGAGAGAGGCTCTCTCTAAAGTTCACTGTAGTGGAGGCCTTTCTGCCAGCAGTGACGTGAATTAGCAAGTGCAAAGGCAGCACCTTCACCTTTTATTATTACCACGTGGTGTGTATTGTTCACACATTTTATATCTCGTTTGTGTAGTTGCGTTTGCTCCGTTAGCCTAAATGTAACATTGGCTTGTCATTTTTATTTAATTTGTACACATGGTTACATTTTCACAATTCAATTCAGGTGTTTTGAGAATAAGAATAGGGACTGTGCGTTAATTAATTAATAGATCGTTACCTGCCTTCCTCTTTGGGTTTTCAAAATCCAGGTTGGTAAAAACTGAGTGGGGAAAAATACACATTGCGGGGGGAAAAGCCACAGGTTTTGTAACATGGTGGCTTAATTTCAGTTTTAGTTTGACAATTAATAGTTTTAAGAACGTTACCAGTCACTGGGTTTCCATTAAGAAATTGGAGAAATAGCTCGTGCGGTTGGAATAAAAAGAGACACCCTGTTTTAACACAATAAGTTGAGTGGCTTACTCTCTAACAATACAGATTTGCTCATTTTTATCGGCCACTAATTGCACTGTGTGCAGGAATTTTGACGTGTTGTTTTCATTGTGACATCCTGATTATAATCCATGACTTGTAGCTTGGTAAAAAATATTGACTCATTCAGTACAGCCGTTAATGCATTTGCTGAACAAATATAAAGAAGGCCTTAGACATTTCAATCCTGTTCAGGAGTAGATTGGTTTTACTGGAAGGACTCACGCATTTTTATCTATCTTATTTATTTTCCCAAACAAGTTTCTTTCAAATAAACGACACGTATTCGACGACAAATGAAAATGGGAAAAACCATGAAGTCACTATGAATTTTAAATGTTTATAGGGCCAACCAAAATGTATACAGATATAATTTGTGTTTATACCGTATGTATATTGTACATTCCTGTACATATTTACGTTTAAGTCCTGATCTAATGAGGACAATTAGGAGGACCATTTTGTAAAAAGGAGATATTTTGAAAATTCCAGTGTGCTGGTTCCGTTTACAGTCACTGCAATTTGCGATGGCTTTGCTCAACAGCCTTGTGTGAACATGTGGATAAGAGGTTTCTTTTTCATATTAGGCATACATTTGTTGAAAGTTAATCGGTAATAGAATGAATACGAATGTGGAATAAAGCCACAATAGTGGTAAAGGTAGAACGATCCATCTATTCTTCTATTAATATAAATGCTTGAGCTCTCAATACATTCATATAAGCACGTGTTAGAATACATACTTTTTTAAAATCAAATAATGTGGTTATGTAATGGGTTCCCCTCACCCCTGCAGCTATAGGAGGTGCTACCATTCACTCATTAAACGCATTACCTTCAGATGCTGCAGAAAAAAAAATCTACGTTGTCACACATATATTAATACAGTATTAGGGCCAGGTGTATTAGTATTGTCATTTGAAAAATATGTTGACTCGTGGCCTAAAGCCCCTACGTTTTGATGATTTTCAGTATCATGATTTTTGCTTTAAACTGAGCAAGATTGATAGGCCCTTTGAATACACGAGGGCCAGAGGAAAGGAACTCCACATTATAGTTGATAGGAACGTCGGGTGCTCAATGTGGGATCAGGTGGCTCAGAGGTCACAGCACTGAGCTGGAACCACTGAAACCCTGGGATTGGGTCTCGTATTGGGCCACGGCCTGGTGGATGCAGCGGCGCCACCCACCCTAGGCGGTCAGCAGCCTGCCGCTCCTCACAATCTCGGAGGCTGATTTTTCCGTGCTTCAGGGAGGACTTGAGTCGCTTCACTTGGCCTCCCCTCGCCAGCTGCCCATTGGAGAACTGGGAGATGATGCACCGTTCGCTGCAAACTTTCCACCTGGAAATGTACGGTATTTTTTGACATTCCAAAAGCAGCAAAATTGGAATATATTTGGGGGGGGGGCGGGGGGGGATCAAACCAAAAATGTCGGGTGCTCTGAAAAAACGTAAGGTTACAAATATGGGTATGAGGGAGTAGTGAGGGAGTAGTGAGGCAGTGGTTAGCATGCTGTTCTATGAATCTTGCCTCCCTGAGTTGAATTCCCAGACCATGGCTAACATCACTGGCAAGTGATATCTGAACCAGTTCTGGATATCTCCCTTACCAAACCCGCACTGACCAGTGTGGCCACACAACCCTCATGACCAACACGAGTGTGGGAAGGCCTTCATCTAGCAAGTGGATTTATTATAATTATTTTTTTGATGTATTTTCTTCAATGTAATAATAGATGCTCCTATATGATTCAAGTAAATTATTGGGCACTCAATTTTTTTTTATAAATATATTCCCAGGTCCTCAAAAGCATTGTCTTGAACAAGACACGCGTCTCAAGATCATGCCACCACCATACCTCACCAGTGCTTTCCGCCCTTTACCAGATCCCGGCAGCTGCTGCACAGTCGTCACGTGATCTCCACGGTCTGCTCTGACAGCAGCCACCATTTGGACTTAGGTCTTCCCCTTTGTGACCAGATTCGTGGAGACGACTCCAACGGCCGTCTCAGCAAACAGCGCAACCATTTTCGCCTGATCACGTCTACTCACCTGTCACGTTCTCTTCCGGATTTGTTTATCCTGCGTTGCTTATCCTGACTTGACACGGCATTCCAAGCTGAGTGATCGAAAAAGCTTTTTAATGTCAGACTGGACATTTTACCTCCCACCAAGCGCTAAGATCAACATTAATAACTCAACTCTATAAAATGTAAATGGATGTGCACAGCTAAGCCATTTGCTCATCTTGCTTAATAGGGGACGTTTTTTAGTCATTTACAAATCGCCCTCGATGTGTGGTGATGTGTGGGAGGGACCCTCTGGTGTCCCCTGGCACGTCAACCACAAAAGCAGCTGCTGGGCATCAGAGAGAGTTCAAATTCCTCCCTTGACATCAGATAGCCTAGATAACCTCGCGGATCAGGATTCATAATTTAAACGCGTTCCCAATACAAGTCGACATTTGTTTTAGTCTGCGGGCAGCATTAGTTACGCTCTGCAAATCTCTTTACTCTACGCTCATGATCGCTCCCCTCCACCTTGCTCTTACTCTCCCCAAAACCCATCCCACCCGTGCCACGTGCCTTCATTTTCTCAGAGCTACCAAGACTAATTGTAGCGCCTCTCAACCCGTATGGCTAAGTAAGTATATACATGCTTTTGGAGGAGGAATTCTGACGCAGTATGCCGTGGTAAGAAAAAAATAACACGTGCGTGCCTAATGTTAAGGACCGTGAGCATATTGCCTGTATCATTTCATTTTGTAGATTCGTTGATGTGGGAACCAGGTCCTTCTATAGCTCAGTAACGGATGCTGTCGTATAAATCTTCACATTTGACACGGAGCTCTCAGCTTTATTCCTCAGCAACGATAACCACTTGGCCGCCAATGTGCCAAACACACTGTATTGAGTTGTGTCGCCGATACATTTCAATAATTAAAACGAGTTTGTTTCACTGGTCTCTTGGTATTATTGTCTAGGCTGCTACATTTGATCATATTCATGTCCTCCATTCACCCGTGAAACCTTGCCGAATTTCAAGACTCTTTTTCAGTAGAGTTCTGCATGGGGATGTTTGGTCAGTTCCCTCAATGCATGTTTGGCAATGTTTGTGGAAACCAGAGTACTGTACCTGGAGAAACGCCATGCATATGAATGGACAACACTCAATGCCCTGCACAGATAGATTAAATAATCCATTGCTGTAATGGCAACTCCTGGCCAGCTCCATTCCTATGGGTCAATTCTACAAATCTCGGTATTCCCAGGCAGTCTCCAAGCACTAACCAGGCTCAAACATGATTAGCTTCCAAGAATTCAGGCACATTCAATGTTATTTGTTCATGGGCACATCCTTCCATAGTAGTGCCTTGCATTTATTACGAATGTTTGGAAGTCAATACAAAGGTTCGGTCAAGGAGTGCTTATGGGAAAAAGTGTTACGTGCTAAGCTGCCTCCATCTCAACGATACAGGTTTCCCTCGCTTTATGCCGGTTCGATTTGTGCAATTCCCATTAAACATGCGGCTAATCTATTTCGACCCAAAATTTGTTATATGCGATTTGAATTCACTCACATGCGGCTATGCGGTCGGGCGTGGTACGACATCGTGTAGTGTGAATGTACTGTGTGTGTACTCTGTATGCTACTCGTCAGGCAACTGTCTCGTTCGGTTTCACTTTTTCTTGGAACGTATCTACTACCGCATATTTGATAATTGAATCTAATCACGACCTTACAAATCATCAAAGAGAGGTGAGGGTGAATCTGTGTGCGTACATGTACAACCCTTTTCTCCATCCACTGCTGGATGAGCGCCTCCCCACGCCGTACGGGTTGAGGGCTTATTTAGACATACTTCACCATGCTGGTTTAGTGCGGTTTGGTGACCGTGGAGAGCATAGTTGTGGAAGCATAGAAGTACAGAACATGCATCTCTACAGCCAATAGCATACAACACCTGTAATGCGTGGTGGCCGCCCATTCAATAACGATCCAGGCTCCATCCTTCGAAGCTTCTGAACAATGAAAGGACCGGGCACATTCCAGATGATGCAGTCACAGGCAAACTAAAACTATTTAGACATTTATTTTTTATCTTACCAGGCTAAGGCCGCAGTGAGCAATATAGCTCTTTTATTCAGAAGCGACCTGGCCACAAACGATAGTTCAACGAAGCAGGATTATCATGTGGAAATGTAAAGCAGCCCAAATACACTCTAAGCGCTTGTTTCTCAATATGGAGGGAAAAATCGGAAGACCCGGACAAAAATCCACACAACCACGGGATCGGGATCGAACGCACGAACTCCTACATGCCATGCAGAGCAATAATTCGCCGTACTCCTGTGCAGATTTTTTTTGCGGTTGTGCTGTACAGCTATCTCTGCCGACGTGTTTTCGGGTCGTACCGCGTGCTGTCCGGTACAGTGTCTGACGTTCCAGGAACTGACCTGCATTCATTTCCTGAAGAAAGCTCCCAGCACGTGCAGCGGACCACAGCGCCACAACTGCAAGCGCGCCACGGCACACCACAACAACAAAAAAAAGCAGCAGACAGAGAGGCGACGCCGTCTTTCATTCCGTTCCACAGCATCGCATTTCTCCGAGCGATTTGCTCCGGAGCAGCGGTGGATTTCCGGCGGCGGGTGAATCGTTCGTGCGTGCCGAGCTCAAACAAACGTGTTGCGCGTTAGCCCCCCATAGGTTCCTTCTCACCTCTTCGCCCCCCCCCCCTCCCCCGGTGCCCCTTCTTGCCACGCTGCAGATGGTCCGCATCCGCCTGCCGCTGTGCCAGGGCGTGCTCAACGACAACAGCTCCACGGCGCTCATCATCGTCGGCTTCGTGCTCATGTCGCCCCTGCTCGTGCTCGCGCTGGCCGCCTACTGCCGCATGGCCCGGCGCCTCCAGCTGGGCTTCTGCTTCCTGCCGTACAGCCGCGCCGTCTACAAACCGCCGCTGCCCGCTGGCCTCGCTGCCCCGCGCTGCCCGCGGCTGCTGGCGCCCTGCTGCTGCTGCTACTACACGCGCGGCTCGCTGTCGGGTGGCAGCACCACCCCGCATGGCACGCGCTCCGTCTGGGTTTGAATTCACCACGTGGTCTCCGGGGCGTTCCTCGGCTTATCCTTCCCCCCCACCCCCTTTCGATTCCCCCTGCTTTGCTCCACCCCTGCTGCCGCTCTCTCTCCCCGTCTCTCATCTTCATGCCACCCTCTCGTACCTCTTTTCCACAGTATGACCGCGCCATGCACGCCGAGGCCGTGCCGTGCCAGCCCGGTGTGGCTCAGGAGGCATCTGGTTGATTTTTTTTTCCCATTGCGGAGGCCGAGCCGTGCCGCTGATTTCACGCGCAAATGAATGCATTGTTAACACCAGCACTGAGCGTGCTTGGCCCAGAGCTATATGTCTCGTGGGTCCTGGATATCACAGTTATGGTTTTGGCTTGGCACAGCAAATAGCCAGTGGATTGAAACCTACACCGGGAGGCCCTCCCGTGGGCTCGGCTCAGATGTGCCAGTGGAAAATGGATATGAGCAGCTGCATACGCTCGTGTTGAGCGATTGGTGGGTGTAAATGGCATTCATTTTTGTTGTTTTTGAGATGGTTGGATGATTGTGTTGAGGTTGCTTTGTGGGGTTGGCCACGGGCCCGTGTGAAATGAATTAAACGGGCCCAATCCCCCTGTTCAGTCTTCCCCTCTTCTTTTGGTAACTCGACGCCTGGGCCCCCTCCAGGCTGTGAGTTACGGTGCAGTTGCGCTGCCTGTACCCTCGAAAGCTACGCGACTGCTTTAGGAAGCGTGCTTTCCTTGGGGTTTTTCATTTTGTTATAATGTCCCCCCTCCCTTTGTGGTTAATTTCTAGAGAAGCACTGGTCAAGAGGCTGTTGAATTTGTGGGTCGCTGCTTGAGATTATATCACCGGCTATGGTGGAGTGGAGTTTCATGGTTTCAGCACCCTCACCGATAACGGCGCACAATTATACCACGAAAGATTTGTTGAATTACATTTGGCTGAGTTAATCTCTCCAAATGCTTACCACGCTTACCTATCTATACACTTGCAGACAGCACAGTTTGGAGATCTTGGTCGGATAAGTCCTTGAGGGATGCCAGATAACGGTCTGCCATGTGTATTTTGGTTCATTATACAAAGTAACGTATTGCTTTGCTGTGTGTGGCCAATCTTATCAATCTGGAAATTTATTTGCTTTGTGGTTACATGCGAAATCAGAGGTGGGATGTAGTGATTACTTTTTTTTTGTTCAACATAATTCAATGCAGGTGGTATACCAAAGCCGAAACTGGTCAATTGTGTCTGGATTATAGCGAGTGCCAATGTTTCTCTGCAGGAGCAGCCACCACATGATCATGTTGCCAGCCTGGGTGCCATAGTTGTGAGATTAAAATAAAAAATACCCACAGAGCTTACAGGCATAATAGTTTGTAGGCTGCTCATGTACAATGTAGGCTTATCAATTATTTTGCAAACAAAATAGTATATAGCGAGCAGTCTTTGATAGATTTGGCCAAGTCGGTTAAAAATGTAATTAAATTTGATTGCTTCCAAAGCACATAAAAACGTGTATTTGCTAACCACTCAGAAATAATTGTCCAAATCGAGTACGAACATTCTCATACACACAGATTGTCACGATTTGGAATTCTATATCAACTAAATAATATTGTTTTTATATTGGAGTAAATTGTAGTGTAAGGGTTACACAGATTCATTACATGCAGCATCAATAGAAAATAATCGATTTGCAATACTCTCCATTGTGGTTGGACGAATAACAGTAAAGTTGCATTCATAACCAGTTGAGAGCCCATTGAGGCCAAAATTATCTTTTTCAGGGGTAACCTGGCTTCAAATAGAGTCCTGAATCACAAAAAATCCCCACAAAGTACAAAAAAAAGACAAAAAATGGAGCGCTATGATAAAAATAATTAACGTTATCGATAAAGATGAGGTGAAAATAAATGCAACGGTTAAATATAAGACTTTTATGAATAAAAAATTTTTGCCGTGCAGAAAAACTGGTGGCTAATTTTCCCACTTCATCTGTCCACGGTATTTTAGAGGAAATCTTAGGGTAATTGGGGCTCACTTGTGGATGGAATGGCAGGCAATTTGTTAAAATGGGATATGGCTATTTCCCCAGGTCTGAACTGCTGGCCCTTGTTAAAGCGTCCATGCATAGCCAGTGGCCTCTCATGATAACCTTAGGACAGGGGTCATTGTGAAGGCATTGTGCTTGGGTTTAGGGAGAAGACCGGTGGTGACAGCTGTACGGATTCACGCGCACACTCGTTCTGACACTGATGAAATAGCGGGCGGATTGCGTGTCCCGGGCAATTGGCAATCGGCCAGCCGTTAGAAGAAAACTGGAAGAAGTGAGTGTACATACGTCAATCATTCTTACTGTGAACTTTCAGCATCTTGGGCAATCTCCGTTGACAGAGGACAAAACGAGAATGACAACACGGGCAACAGCAACTGACTACAGCGATCGCAATTTGTTACCGAGTGCTGATGATGTCCCAGATGGACACACAAACAGAAACCACCCGACCAAAACCTCACACAGGGCCCTTTACATTTCACAGTCCTCTCCATGTTGTTTGGACTGCATATTGTCAAATTAATTAGTGACGTTGGCCTTGACTGAGATGAGCAAGTGTGTGACACTCTTTCTGAGATTATGCATCAGTCGGGGAGACTGATGTTGTGCGTGCGATGTTTGGCCCGCTGTTCGACGTTCTGCTGCACGTGCTGGGAGCCTCCTCAAGAAAATTCCTGAAGAAGCTCCCAGCACGTGCAGAGAAACGTCGGACACCGTGCCGAACAACGTGCGGCACAACCAGAAAACACGCCTGAGAGCTCATTGGTTTCTTATAGCCGCTGGATGTCAGAATCTCAAGCAGCAGTGCCCTAAATGTATTCCAACTTAACTTCATTTCCGAGAGATGTTTTGGAGCGTGCGAGGAAAAAGCAGTTTGTAACGAGGTGCGGGAAAGATAAACCAATGCCCTTGAGCTCAACTTCCATTCAGAATTTGTGTTGTTGTTGTAAAATAGAGACGCTGAATCAAAAGAACTGCTGCTCTTGCGAAACGGCAAATAGAGGCCACGTACAAGTAGGGGCCGTTTAAAAGCCACCGACACCGTGAAGGATTGCACGAGATTCCACGTCGGTTATCTCCATTGAAATGGGTTGGCGAAATTACGTTCATGTGTTTCCGGAGTGTGCTTTTAACAAGAGAAGTTTTCGCTTTCGTACAATTGATAAACGCTTGCAGTGTTTCTGCTCACGTGACGTACGGCTGTCATTCTAGGAAATCGCATTATGCAATGTTGTTTTTATACTCCATTTAGATTTTTTTTACATCACGGAAAGTCGCAGCGCATGAATGCAAAATTGTCGTTGCTGCCAACTCGATGATTGTGCACGGCTGTAGCTGTATTAAGAATTCCACAGAGGCTTTGCAGACCTGAAGGGAGACGCAACCTGAAAAATAAACTGACGTTATTATTCACGCTTTTCCAATTAAGGTTAATTTGGGCATTTGCTCTGTCCAATCTACCTTGTCTACTTGTCTGTCACATGGGGGACACTATAAGGCTTGCAAGAAAGTGCCAATGTTGTGTAAAGACGCCACAGGCCACTTGAACGGGTTTTTCATCCATTATTTTACGTCTCGCAACATGATACCGCGAGGCACCACGGTGGCGAGATATTAACTACCTCGCCTGGTATACAGGAGGTCATGGGTTGTGGGCTCGATTCTGACCCTGACAGTGCCTGTATATTTGGAGTTTTGCATGCTCTCCCCGTGGTCGCGTGGATTTTTCTCCGGGCGTTCCGGTTATTCCCTCCACATTTAGAAACGTGCGTTTAGAGCATTTTGCCGCGAATAAATGTACACGTGATAAGCCACTTCGTTGAGCTATTATTTGTGGCCAGGTGGATTCTGAAAAAGAACTATATAGCTCAGTGGGCCTTACCTGTTAAAATAAAAAAAAATAGTTTAAATAGTTTTCAATGATACTGATAGAGCACAGGGAATATAAAAAAAACAATATTTAGAATAGTTACAGTATCCATACCACACTCGAGTGCACAATAGCAGCTCTTTCGAATGCCACGAGACCGTAAATTTCACCTCTTTTTTTTCTCACGAGCAAACCTTGGGATGCTTGAGAAATGAGTCATTTTTTTAGGTTGTGTCTTCCTACAATGGAATGAAGACATGCCATGGTAAAGTCTGCTTCAGCTTTCCCAAATCTTTACAGCCGACACCAAGGCAGGCACTGACCAGTGAAAATGGATCCCCAGGTTAATGTGAGCACCGGGAAGACACGGTTGTGAGATTGGCTTTGATCAAGTTCATTCTTGCATTGGCATTAGTCTGCGTTGAGTGCCACAGAGGGTAAATGGGGTAACAACGGCAGGCATGCCGAAGCCCTTTTGTAAAGTCCAGTGGGGTCTGGTGTGTTTCAGTGCTCTCCCAATGCACTAATGCACTTTCCAGAGCTTCATTTTACCAGATAACAGACATCAAGATATATATTTTTTTCTGTACCATGTTCACCTTAGAAATAAAATTGCCAAAAGCACTTAAAAGTGACACTGGTAATAATTTTAGGAATGTAATTCGTGCGCGAATCACTAACTTTAAAAAAAGTCGAATACTTTCATACTTGTTTGAGCCTTGTGACTATTTTTTTGTGAGAGCCCACTAAATTGAACATATACAAATGAGCTAGTGTATTCTGTTGCACTGAGAGGGCGTTTTCGACCAATTATAGTGGCATAAGAAAGTAGAAGCCACCCAGACATTCATATTCGCCAATGACCAAACCGTCTTAAATACTTTGACTTAAAGCTTTCGTGACTGCAGGAATTCATATTCTTTGGGTCTTTCGGTAAAGTCACGTAGATAGGTTCAAAGAAAATGTCAACCTATCTACGTGACGTTACCGAAAGACCCAAAGAATACGTCTTAAATACGCCTGATCGAGATAGGTCTTCGAAGCCAATATGAAAGTTGAGCCTACGTTAAAGTACTTAGATGGTTGACCAGCATGGCTTGCCAGATGTTGTAGGCGCGGGGCTGCCAGGAGATGGAAGCATTGAGTATTATCCCCTCATATGTTGTGGGTTTTCTCCGGGTACTTCCGTTACCTTCAACAAGCCTAACATTCCCAATGCAGGATCTTTGAAAGATTGGTGCCACACCAATATACATGGGCCACTTTATAAGGATACTTTGTTGACCGGTAAACGTGCCATCAAGCGCGGCCCTGCTTGGCAATGTTTTATTTTCCTCAATCTTAATTCGAAGTATATTTTGTTGGTTCAGTTTTACTTAAAAGTATATCAGATTGGTAATGAAAAAATATATATTTGAAGGATTTACTATATATTTTTTATTTTAATGATCGCTGTGGATTAAACAAAAAGTTTTCCTTTGAACCTTGTGTCTCATTCACGTAATAGCGGAAAGGCAGTTTTACCGTTATTTAATATCAATGTTTCGGCGATTTGGCTCATTTCTCTACCAAAAATGTGGTTTCTGACAACTCAGACCTTGCATTGAGCAGAGTGGAGGCCCTTTCTGAGCCCATTTCTCCCACTTAGTCTTGTGCCGTTCTGTCACCTATTCAATTTTTGCCAGTCAACACAGGTGAGACAGTTTTATATCATTGACGTTTCACTGGAGGCTATTGGTAAGCATGTCACCCATAGGGATGTACAAGCAGAAGATTTGCGAACTGAGAACATACCTTAAATACCGTAATCCAAATAAATACTTTGGATGATGTGAATGATTATTATGCATGTACCAATTAACTTTCCCTCTAGTATCGATTAATTATCATGATTCAGGGTCACGATTCAAATAAAGAATCGATTATGTGTTTTTTTATCGTTAGCTTTGTGGTTTGGATTGTTTTATAAAAAGGTGTGTTTGCTTCATTACCTTAAATGTAACATTAACATAAGATGTCCATTTATTTTGCATACATACATAATCAAATCTTACACGCACGGTATGATGAACGTATCGGGAGCTTAATAATCAATTTGAATTAATGAATCTATACAGTGTTACATGCCGAATTATTACAATGATTATAATCTATGTATGAGGTGTGATGTATGCTGCAAGCCAAAGGGTAAAGACTGAACATCTGCATTATATATCCTTCCCCCGCTTATCCTCAGTGATCCTTACTCATAAATCCCCATCTATATATATATTTTGCTTCATATATATTTTTAGTTTTATTTGCAGCTCTGTGCTTTGTACACACTTCGAGCCAGCACCACAACCCAGCAAAAAAAAGACATTTAAGTGTCAATTTTTTATTATTATTTTGACTGGAGAATGTTGACACGTTTGAGGCAGCCTTGCACATGCACATATACATATACTCCACCAGTGTCTGGCATTATTCATGGCTTCCACGCGTGACATTTACTGCATTGACATCGCTAAGTCATTGTGAACGTGCATGTTGCAAGGCGTTGGGACCAAGTTCAGAGATTTGCTCATTATGAACGGATGTTATGATTATATGATGTGCGTGTTTGGCATCGGAGCAACAACTTTTATTTTGAAGAAAATAAAGATTAAAAATTTCACTCGTAAAAAAAAAAGGTCTACTTCATTACATCACTTTGCGTAGCTTTTTTTTCTGTTTGTGCCTTTGGAAATGTTACACGGAAAGTCCCGTGTAGCCAGTTACCCAGCTGGTTCATAAGGGAGAGCCGTGGTGCATCAGCACAGAACAAGAAGGGCAAGACATCAAAGTGGAGGAACTGACTGCGTCAGAGGTGAGTGCGAACATCGTGCTTGAAGAAAGATTTCCGCTGCAGAAGATTGTTTGTCAATAAACAAGCGAAACAATAGGCATATAGCACCAAACACGAGGACGAGGTCGTGAATCATTGGAGAGGAGATGTCCGCGAGGCGAAAGGAAAACGATCAACACCTCAATGTACACCAATTAGCGTCGACGAGACAGCATGCAGGGTGATCCATTCACGGATACTCCAATAATAAAAAAGAGATACGTTATCACAGAGAGAACAGCATTCTATTCCAAAGGCACCACACGCCTCCCGCCAATCTCGATACACGTATTACACCGTGAATATTCCACGGACACACTTTGCCTAACGTTGCCAGTGTCATTTTCTTGCAACATTCAATGATGACGCGCAAGTTTAGGTGCTTCACATCTCATGGTTGTGTTTGTTTGCGTGCAAAAAGCAAAGATCCCCCGTATAGTATTACCACACTGCTGGGGCAAGTGCTGCTAGCATACAACAAACCGCCATTCGCCACTAAGTGGCGGTGACGTCACAACGGCGCTTGTGCCAGGCCATGTGCACGTTAAGGGCACGCGAAGTGTCGGACTACCGCTGGCAGGAGGTCACGGGGCAGATCCAGGTGCCATGGGTTGACTAAAATGATTGGCCGATGCATCACCTTGTGCCTCCTACTGTGCAAACTTGCTGTGTTTTAGCTATCCGGCACTCAGCTCGTTGTTGTGAGCGTCGCTCCTCCGCCCTCCGTTGTTGCTGGAAGGGCGACTGCCAGGCAGTGTCCTTCACGAGCCTCCTCCTATGTTAGCACACACACACACATACACACACATCTGAGCAGTTTTTGACGTGACCTGGCAAGAAAAACATCCAGTTGGAGTCATGCCAGGTGAAGGGCCACACACAGTTGTTCCACCTCGGCCAATCTAAAGCAACACACGGTGCTGCAGCAGAACAGCGTCATTAGAGATCAGTGGTGTATCTATAAATGGATCGCCCTGTGCTTTGATTGCTTAAGAACTATTTAAGAGTGCGGTAAAAGGTGGGCCTGGCAGGGGCATGAAGGGGCAGAGCCGACGGTGGAAGGGGTCACCGGGGAATTGAGGTCACGGTTGATGGAGAGAGAAGAGGAGCCAGGCTAATGGGGAATATTCACCCCGTCCTCTGGATGGGCTGCCCTAAAGCATTATGCAAACACAATTCTTATTATTAGAGCTCCCAGAGTTGGCGTTCTTGATACAAGGTGTCTGAAAATGTAGAACTGTTCGGAAATAAAAGACTTATTTTGTTGACATATCCTTTCCGTGTATTATTTTAAGGATGCAATTTTTCTGAATATTATTTTGCCCAAGGCTTAATAATAATAACAGTGCAATGCATTCTTCTGTAAACGTGTTCCTGCTTTCCTGCATCATGTGGGCAGTCATGCTTTAATACCGTGTCCTCTAAAAATGGTTCAATTGCCCTAGATGAACTCAATTATGCTCTAATCACCAGATTCGCTCACCTGTGATAAATGTACCCAGCAAAACAGAAACGTAACCATTACTCATGGGAAAGATAGGCACTCCGGGTTTGATCATGCTGCAATGTGCATGAGGTTGATTATGAAATCGTTACTATAATTACCGTACTTTCGCTGGACTCTGCAAAAGGTCTGGGTTGCCCAATCGAGTACTTTTGTTCTGCTTATCTGTGCGTGAATAAATGCAGTGCGTGCTGAATGTTTCCCATCTATTCGATGCGGTCATTGCCACAAGTTTGCCTGCTCTGCCCGGAGCAATGTTCCACCAACAAATTGGGCACACGTGAAAGGTGCACTGGGCCCTAAGCCAACGCAAAGCCTGGCTTCCGCAAAGGCCTTGTTTACTTGGAAACTGTGACCCACACTCACTTAGTAATGCATAGCATTTGAAACTCAAAGTTCCAAAGGCTTGAGTTCATGGATCTCTTAAGATCATGCATTATTGGCAAGGCATCTCAGCCAAAAGTAGCTATCAGAACTAAAGGCGATCACTTGGTAGGTGTTGTCAACTCTCTCCTCGACTAGAACAGCAACTCTCTCATTTTCAAACTCCAAGTTGCTGCCCGGCCCCCGCACCTCCGATTATTAGGGTTGCTAAGTACGATGAGAAAGAAGTTCAACATGCACTTGCATCTACAGGTGTAACAACATTACAGAGATACATCGATCCCTGCACTGGTTCTCAATCCAGTCTTGGATCAACTCTAATATTTTCCTCCATGGAGTATCCCCTGCAAACCGCTGCCCTCTCATATCACCACCCAAGTCCCACTCATGCGCTCACCACACCAGAAAGCAAGGCCTTCTGTCAAAGGCCCAGTCAACCTACGCTAAGCAAGAAGTCGTTCATTTTCCTCTGCTGACCCAGTGGTTTGTAACTCTCTCCCTCCAGCCGTCCTGTCCGTCCACGTCCAGGTTCTGTCTATGACAGTCGCATAACGCACGTGGGGCAGGGGGATGCCTTCCCCCCCCCCCTTGTGGTCAAAGCTACGAGTTGGGGCCCCTCTGACAATCACCATGAGATGTTTTGAACAACAGTGTGAAAGAACACACACTTTTGTAAAACGCGGTTTAAATATATTTTAATAGGAATTCTTCAATTTACGTTCCAAGAAGAGCCATGATCTATAATAGTTTAGGTGCGACCATCAGAGACCAATCAAATATTGGGGGCCCCACCTGACCGATTGCCGCACCCCCTGAGCTGATAATGTAGTCACTACACCACTGGTGTAGATACACCTCATTGTTTTCCATGATACAAATGACCAATCGTTTGGTACAGCATCTTGAGATGCAGTTGCATTTAAATGTTACATTAATCCAAATTGCACCGCACTGTCACGCTGGTGGATAAAGCGACAGTGTTTCCATCATTGTGTGGCAACAACAGCGTGCCTAGAATAAAACAAAAAAGGCCTCTTTGGTCATCCCTTAAAGCCATTATACTCTTGCTCTTAACATTTACCTCGCAATTTGTCAACTCTTACAACAAGGAATGCCACCATAGTTCACTTCGCAAGAAGAGTGATTTATTAAAAATTGTGTAATTTAAAAGAATGCTATTGAATGACGTTCGAGAAAGGCTAAGATTGTGTAGAACTAATTGTATTCACGAGATAGCCAGGTGGCTGAGGGGATTAATAGCATGTCAAAAGTCTGCCTAAATATAAAAAAAATCAGATATACTCTTTTTTAAAGCACCAATTGCTTAAGCAGACAAACTCTGGACTGATTTTAACTTTCTTTATCTCATCAGCAGAGTCAGACCTATTAAACAAATGCTTTTATGTTGCCAGATGTTATCAGCAATACATACAACGCTGTCGGTGCAAAAAAACAATACAATATAAAACCTCAATGCACTCTTATGAATATTTTGGGCAAAAAATCGTGTAAAGCATACTTCTAGTCTATCAGCCATTGGGGCCTTTCAGACTAGTGCTTTATACCATACACTGTAAGGCGTTCAAGTATCAAAACCCTGGGCCAGTTTTGACTTTTTAACGCACTAAAATGCAAAGAACACTGCAGGGCATATACAAGATATGCTCAGTATTCATAATTGGGCCTCCAGAAGTGGCTTCTGATGTGGTACTGTGATGCCATCCTTGAGGACTGTTCAGACACAGGGTGGTACATTCGAGCTGCGAGAATTCCACGTGGAACATTAATAAATCTCAAGACTTGATGCTAACCAGACAATGGAAGAACATTTGGGGGGTGAAATTAAAGCAATAATAATATTTAAAAAATAGAATGACCGTTCTTTCTCAGAATTCAACGATTTTGGGGCTTTAAAATGTCTAATAAAAATACATCTCAAGATATTAATAGAATCATGAATGTGTTGTTTATATAATTAATATATTTTCTTGTCGTCCACACACATACATATAACAGACCTGCATCTGGAATAAGAAATAGCATTCACGGGAAAAAAGGCTTTATTTATGTATCATTTTTTCAAAGAGGTAATGCTCACCGCCATCTGTTTTGATTATTATTCCTGTTAGTCTCCATAACTGCCAGTCATTATTTGGCCTCGTTTTAATGCACATTTTTACGATTTGTGCTGCGTAAACCTGGCAGCTCAGCTCACAATACCTCCCCCAGGTGCTGCTCGACACTGTTGTTGACAGCTGCTCATAGGAAATGGGTCTCAGTCATTAAAGCACAATTGAGATGATTGAGCCTGATGACGGTGCCACTGCTAGGGAGGCACTTTACCGAAGCGTGATTGACAGCCTCAAAGCATTGTGGCATAAAAGCGTTGTGACCTTTACTTGAGAGAGAGAGTCTGTGCCCGCGCGCTTTATTGTTCAAGGTGTTTTGGCCAGCTCGGAAGGCAGATAATGAAACGGGAAGAGTGGCATTTGTAGCTACGGTGAATGCACTCAGCACATCACAGCTGCCTCGCTAATTAGCATATCTGGTGAAGACTCTGGATATATCTCCAGTATCTTTTTATTTTCCAGTATCAACCCGAGCTATGAATGCTTCGCTTTTCGCATTGTCTTTGTGCTGCTCGCCTTTTGGCATGCTCTGATCTAACGCTGGTGAGACAAGGCCATAAAGAACAAGGCTGTCTCTGGTGTAAGCCAATCCGTTTCATAGAGAATGCATATATTATCAGAGCATCCATAATCGAAGTTTTTGGGTTAGATCGCGTACATACTTACGCGATCTAACCCAAAAAAACCTCTATTATGGATAATATTGGTCGTGAAAGCCTACGTGTTAAGTTATGAGATGATCTTTGTTTGTATGTTTTACCACAAGCACGTGTGGTTAATGCAGACTT